ACACACACACACACACACACACACACACACACCATGTATACATCACTTCAGGGGACATTACATTGACTTACATGCGTTTCCTGGAGCCTTATCCTGATCCTAACCATAACAAACACATGCCTAACCCTTACCAAGTCTTCACCCTAAAATGAATGATTCCCCTCATGGGGACCTCCATTCTTTGTAAACAGATGTAGGTCCCCACAAGTATAGTAATGCTAGGCCACACACACACACACACACACACACACACACACACACACACACACACACACACACACACACACTGTTGAAGGGGTTACAGTGTGATACGTTGCTTATAGGATCAGGGAATAAGATTAAGTGAGAAGATAAAGACGAGTTTCAGTGAAAAATAGCTAAATTATTATTTCATTTCCTGTCAGACCCTCCGACAGATCTCATGTTCTGTTACGTCACACTCCTGGCTTGAATAGAAATCCCTCTGGAGTTGTGTGTGCGTTTATATTTTGAAATGACCACCGCTGATGTAATCCCACCTGTTGAATATTCATGTTCGTCTCTCAGTGAGATCAGACGTCTTGTTACAATGCAGAGGGAGAAACACAGCGTCAGTCTTTTTGTTTTTGTTGTGACTGTGCCACTGTTGCCTGGATACCAAACAGCTTCATGTGTGGAACTCTGTGATTTGCATGACATTAGCTTCTCTCATTTCCCTCCGGATAAAACTCATCTGATGTTAGATCCCCGCAGCTATTCAGAGACCGTCAACAAAGTGTATGATTCATCTGTTGGAACAATTATAATAAAAAACGTTAATTAGAATCTATATGCGGTTTACAAAGTAGTTTTATACACAGAAGGAGTTTACTTGTATGTATTGGTGCATAATGTCAGAGAGAATTACATTTCAAACTAAAAGCATGTGTTATTTTTTTTCCTTTTGTCTTTTTCTATGTTTTATAGTTTTGTCTTAAATGTTTTGGTGTTTTCTAATCTTTGCGGATGGTAGGGTTATACACATATTGAAAACTAAAATGATATGATAAATGTTAAGTATAATATATATGCTCAATTTTCCATACTACTTTTTCCTATTTTTATTAAAATGTTCCTATAATCTATATTTATATTCTCTTGTTCTCCTGTGTTAGGCAACCTCTTCCCTTAAGTCACAAACTAGTTAAATTACTGCACTTTCTCCTCTAAATTCTTTGACTACAGAACATAATTACTTTGTTTTTTTAAACATAAACACTTTTGTTGTTGCAGGAGTCTGGGAGTTCACTGTTCGAAGGTTCGCTCTCTCACACTGGACTCATGGGAACCAGAATTATTAAAGGTACAGTTTGTCTTAGCAGTTTCGTGCAAGAATTAGGTAGTTGTTGTTCTTAACTATTACCAAATTCCTTAATGAATAGTCAGACATTTTGGGGGAAATTATTATTTGATTTTGAAGCTACACCAAGGAGACTGTTTGCTTAGCCTAGCTTAGTTTAGCTTTTCTTAGCTTAAAGGTGGGGTAGGTAATTCACTTCAGAAACACTTGTTGTTATATCCCATGGAATGCTCTTAACATCCCGATAGCAATGAATATCATTAGTGCTTTGACAATAAATACATTAAAAAAAGCCGTGGCGTTGTAAAAAGCACGACCAATCATCTGAGCCGGCCCGGCTGAAATAACTGGATGGCCTACCTGCCTGTCAGCCTTCCATCTGTGCACAAACTTATCTCGTGCCCTCATTGGTCATGTGCGCGTTCGTGTGTGTTGGAGGAGGGGCTCTGTAAGGAAGTCTGAAGGAAGGGGCAGATTTTTTTCGGCTGCGTACTTTCAAATTCTAGCGCATTCGAGCTGGTTTCTCCATTCTTACCTACCCTACCTTTAATATACTAAGACACTAAGACAGTTTAGCCTAGCATAAAAGCCATTTAAAAGGTTGAAACAGCTAGCTTGGGTTCATAAAAGTTAAAAACAACCACACCAATGAAACAAAGGGGATATAATGCGTTCATATGCCAATATGCATGCTACACTAAGCTAAACATCTTTGAGCTGTAGCTCTAGTTGTAGAGATTACCAATCTTCTCGTTTTACTCAGGAAAGCAAATAAACTAATTTCCTAAAATGTCGAACTGCTCTAAACAATCAGTCTTAATAAGGACACCATTAATGTCTCCTTGTCTTTGGTTTGTAGTTAATGTGTGAGCTTGGGAACAGTGTCATCAACCACATCTACGAAGGCTCATACCAAGAACAAGGTCTAAAGAAACCATTACCGACCAGTTCAAGGTAGGAAGTCCTAAAATACAGCTTAATCAAATGTATTCAAATGTAGCGTGCTATAATTTTGGTGTTTGGTCCGTTGCAGGCAGGAGAAGGAGGCTTGGATTAAATCAAAGTACGTGGAGAGGAAATTCCTGAAGAAGCTGTGCTCCACAGAGATCCTCATCAACGGAGAGAGGAAGTCGGAGCGGAGGTGGAGCGTGAAGAAGTGTCGGAGGCACAACAGCGCCACCACGGTTCCTAAAACACGGCGGAGGTATCGACACGACATAGGAAGCATCTCCCCGTCCACCCTCTCCTCAGGTACTTCCGAGAGTCTCTGTCTCTGGAGCCTCACTGGATGGTCAAAAAAAACATGGCACGCTGAAACATGGCAACCAGTGGAATAGGGGTTTTGCAAAAATACCCCATGTGGTGATAGAGACAGGTTCATGAAGGTCAAAGTCAACTTTATTGTCAATCTCAAAATATGTTTGTACACACAGAAAGATCGAAATACTGTTTCCCACAGTCCCGAGGTATAAGAAAAACTCACACATTAAAATGCAAGAACACTCAATAATGTAGTGTTTTAAAACAACAGGAAGTGAGTTGTTTATTTATTTGTTTGTTCCACACATGGCAGTTATTTAAAAACAAAACATGTACACTGATACTGGTTGCTATTATGTTATAGCGCATGGTGGAAAGGCACAGGGAGAAGAACTTTTTATTTGACCTGCCCCTTAAATAAAGGAAATAACCATTAAAAAAAAAAGTGAAATAAAAGCAATATTCTTTCAGTCACAGTTGCTTACAAATACTGAAACATAAAACCAAACACAATCAGAAGTTCATACTGTCTAATTAATTACGCTTTCTTTATACATTTTCTTAAACATAAAAAAGTTCTTTCAGCCCTTTAAATAATTCGGTAAAGAATTCCACTTCTTTACGCCGTTATTGTAGCTCCGTCCGCTGATTAGCCGATTCATCAACACGATCAGTTGGATTTGCAGCAGCTGCTGTGTCACACGGCTTATGAAGGCGATTACTTACTTACTTCAACACCCTCCAGCTAATTGCCTCAATTTGCATCAAAAACACTCCTTCTCTGTCATAATGTGGTCAAACACAAAGACATGAATGTATTAAAAACAGTAGCAGCCATTTTGCATAATGGTGCCAGCTCTCGCTAAATGGTGACATACAGAAGCTTTAAAGATGTGGCTCCAGCTGTTTTAAGTTTGTCTGATACATGTTCTTCTTTGTTCTTACAAGTTTCCTGTGTTTGTCTTTCAGCCGCTGCTAAGTTCAGAAGAGAATCTCTGTTTTGTCCCGATGAGCTCGACTCTCTCTTCTCATACTTTGACACGGGATCTGGGCCTCGAAGTAAGCGAGTCACGATGCAATCTCTCTACCATGAACAGTAGCATCCAGAAACTGTATTCCTTTAAAGGTCCCCTATTATAATGTTTTTCATTACTTTATTATAGGTCTCAGATACAGAACATGTCTCTGAAGTGTTTGGCTCCAAACACCAAACAGATCATTGCAGCATTACCCATAATCCCCTCTGTTTCAGCCCTGTTTCCAAAGTGCTGATTCTCTGTCTGTTACTTTAGATGAAAATAAGGAGCCCCTCCCCACGCCCCTCTGAGAGAGATTTGGTTAAAAAGAACTTAATGGTGCTCTAGGAGGAGATTCAGGTGATAAGGGGGGGGGGGGGGTTACCTTGGTTGCTGATTGGCTAATGGTTACACAAGCCAAAACATAGTTATGACATCATAAAGTGGCCAAAATCTGATCAGCTCATTTTTATAGAAATGGATCAGGACAAAAAGAGAGAGAATCTTTGTTCCTGAAACTTTCAGAGTCTCTTTCGAAGAGGGGACACATGTTGATGTAGAAGAGACATGAAGAAGAGGGGACACATGTTGATGTAGAAGAGACATGAAGAAGAGGGGACACATGTTGATGTAGAAGAGACATGAAGAAGAGGGGACACATGTTGATGTAGAAGAGACATTTGATGTAGAAGAGACATGAAGACGTGGATTTTGCATAATAGGTGACCTTTAAACTGTATTGATGAGTGAGAAAGAGACGGAGTAAGTAATGTGTCCGTGTTGTGGCGCCTCCTGGTCCCGCAGGCCTCAGCAGTGACAGCGGTTTGGGAGGAAGCACCGACGGCAGCTCGGACATCCTGGTGTTCGGATCGGTGGTGGGCAGCGTCACCGAGGGTGAGTCCACGGAGAGGAATCACTTTCTGATGTCGATGAAGGGTTTTGAATCAACTTCTGTTTTTTGATTTTCCTTCAACTGATGTGGCAGAGCAGAAAAAGTGCCTTAACACTTATTGTAAGATCTGTGCTCTTTCTCAAAGGAATTTTGTTTCTGTTTTACCTGGAATAGCTTTTTGGAAAAATCATTTAACTGTTTAACTGGAAAAAAGTTTTTGTTTTTGTAAATATGGTAAAAGAAGTATAATTTAAAGTCATTCATAAATGCTACCCGGTTACAGTAGGTCTTTTTTTGCTACATTTCAAAATGTATTTACACTGCTTCTTGTTATTCCACTAAAAACATCTTTTATGAAAACATACCTGAAAACTGTGTAACTACAGGACATTATGGGATTTATTTTTGAATAATATTATCTCATTTTGAACTTCAAAAAGATAATAGTTTTAAAAATATATATTTCTATGTTAAACACAATATTTATTAGTGAAGGTATATGTAAATCTGATTAAGTAAGACCTCCCTAATGATTCTATAAGACAATAAATAAGCATGGGATATTTAATTTGACTTTTACTATATTTATAGTTTCCTGTTCCTCTGGTTAATTCTAAATATTTCTGTTTATTTTTTATAAATGTAAGAAATCTTGATAAAGGGAGAGGTATCAGATGGTATTTTGGATATGAGAATATGAAATAAATTCACACTCCCCTCCCCCTCTCCTCAGAGTGCGAGGTGTCGGAGGACTCGAGCGGGGAGGCGGAGCCTGAGACGTCAGACCCCGAGGACCTCAGGGAGCTGCCCCCCGGGGCGCTGCTCTGCAAAGCCTCCAAAGCCCGAAACCTGCCCATCATGGCTGAAGCGCTCGCTCACGGGGCCGACGTCAACCTGGTGAACGACGAAGACGAAGGGAAGACGCCCCTCATCCAGGCCGTCATCGGGGTGAGTCAGATGAGCTGAATGAGTCACACAGGAGACGCCCGGCTGTGATATATAGTGAACGTTCAGTGACAGAATAAGAATCTTAAAGCTCTTACACACATGAAGGTCAGTCATGAGCGGTTCTCAACCTGCTACAAGTTGGTTGGCTTTGACCAGTTGGATATGGTGAAATGCAATGTACATTTTGTAGTCTAAAGTAAGGTTGCATTGTGGGAAATGTAGGATGCATAATTTTTTTAGCTTGACCTTTAATAGAGAATAACAGTCAGGATATCTCAAACTCTTTTGACCATTATTTAAAAAAATCTTTATTAAATTGTTGTGAATGCTCCTTTAAAGGACCAGTTTATAGGATTATGGTTAAATGGAAATATTTCCTACTGTATATAGCTCTGTGTTTTGGTCATTCTGAGTGTAGAGAGTTGGTCAAAACAGATCCACATCGACCTCCAGATGTTAAACAAAGTAAGATAGGCAAAATCTAAAAAAGAGCTTTTGACAATACGGAAAATATTTCGAATGGAGGGCTATTCCGTTGTATGTCTAATAGATGCATTTAACTCATCATTATGACATAAATAATTAATTCTAGGTAATTTAAAGAAATAAATAATCCAACAAATGACAACAAAATCATTATTGAACATTCAAACGTGAATATGACAAAAAGGGAAAGTTTGATTGTGATGAGACTTGCACCTCACTTACAACTGTGATAAAGTTATAGATACCCATATATCTTGGTACAATACAACATTGTAAATATTACTAAAACAAATATGAGACTCGTAAAAGTTGAATGAAATTACTTTAAACAAAAACATCATTCAATTATTAACTATTTAAGGTGAAATCCCCTTCAAAATGGTCAAAAATTGCTCCGGTGTGAGAAACTCCCATCAGCAGCTGGGAGTGTGTTGCATATCTGTTTTTCTCCCCCCCCCAGATCAATGCCTGGTTGTCAGCATGAAGCTAACGGCTGTTGTGATGTTATTTCAGGGTTCACTGATCGCCTGTGAGTTCCTGCTGCAGAACGCTGCTGACGTCAACCAGCGGGACGCGAGGGGGAGGGGCCCGCTGCACCACGCCACGTATCTGGGACACACGGGGTGAGTCAGAGGGGCAAAATGACCCACTTCAGAATAACATTGATCATGTTGCTTTATTGAATGCACAGTTAGGCATGTCCAGTATCATACTCATAATCATTACCTTACCTACTATAGGACATGATAATATCTCTATCACTCACACATCCTTTTTAAAGCCTCTCATATTATATCAATCAAAACAAAAGCTGCAAAATTCTAATAAAATAATAAACAAAATAAATCGTCTTTCTTTCTTTTACGTTGTGTAATGTAACTGTTAAAAACCCGTGTCTCGACAGTGTCTTCTACACAGGTTGCCCACATCTGTGTCTCTTAAATTGCTGGCGCCGTGGGAAATGTAGTCTTTTAAATCTTCAGACTGGCTTTTAATATGTGAATTATGTTGTGTTGCTGTTTTAATATTTGTTCATAACAGACATAACATCTGCTAATCTCCTGAAGTTATATCTGCGTTTTAAATTCACAAATTGTCACTTGTCTTTTGCAATATCTTATTTATATTTCTTAATGTCATTCGATCTGTCTGAATGTGTGTTTGCTGTAATGATCTCTGTTTCTCTGGTTTTTCCAGGCAGGTGTGTTTATTCCTGAAAAGAGGAGCGACTCAGAACGATGAAGATGAAGATGGCCAGGACCCTTTGAGTATAGCTGTTCAACAAGCCAACGCGGATATAGTCACACTGTATGTTCATTTTTATACATTCAATCTTTCTTTTAACCCCTTTCATCTTTGATGGATTTAAAAACCTCTTAAGCCGCCGAAATCGCGTCATTTGCAGGAAACCACATCTAAGGAACCTTAATATTTAATAAACTATGAATATTTTTATATCCATATAACGGGAAACAACTCATTTAACTGTTTTTTTTTTTGTTTTTTTATCTAAAAAAACACACAATGCTAACAGTGAGCCTCTGAATTAGCCCCGAGCGTCAACTTTTTTTTTTAACATGAGTGTGTGCGGGACGATTCCCCTTCGATTCTATTGGCTCTAAAGGTCAGAAAGAGATGTCACATGTCAAAATCGAGCAAGGGGGGGCCAGAGATAAGGAAAATCCACCCAAATGGCCCCAGAAGAGTTTTTTTTTGCTAAATGTCTAAAAAGGTCAAATATCACTTGTTTTCCATCAATCTTGATACAGGGTACTTATTATATGTTGTACTTTGGATTCCTAAAGCTTTTAGTCTACTAACCCATCATCCAAGGTTAGTTTTCACTATAAGTACAAAATATTTTACTTTGACAAAAAAGATTATTAACAGAACCCTTTTAGAAGGGAAGATATGGTCATTTGTTCTGGGAATGTCATTTTCGAGCCTGAAACCTGAAAAACAGGCTCGGGGCTTAAGATGAACAGCCCTTCCTTCTTATCCAAGACCTTTTTTCTACTATAAAAACGGCTTAAAGTGTACTTGGTTTGTTTTATAATAATTGCCATGTGTGGAATAAACAAATAGATCTTCAGGCTGTGTTTACAGTGAAATATTCAAACAATGTAAACGCGCTTTAAGATGCAGATAACTTTTCGGAGAAGTGTGGCACAAACTTTATTCAAAAAATGCGTCCAAATATTAAATGTTTCTTTATTTTCCCCTCAAAATGTAAATTAAATATGTAAGATGGGTGTACACAAACCTTTCAATTACACACCATTTTATAATCATTTATATAAAAACACTTTTTATTGCTTTACACTCCAGCTATGATGGATTTTAACACACTTTCTTTCTTAACTTCAGGCTGTGTTTTCCGTGAAATATTGGAAACATGTATACCCAGTTGAGATAGCCCGTAGGAGCAGTGCTGTTTTGTTGTTTGTGTTTGTTTCTTTATATGTAACTCAAAAAAGGTGTACAAAGCAGACCGTACCATTTTCACTCTCCAGCTTTGATCGTTTTAACACCCTTTCCTCTGTATCTCCAGGCTGCGTCTGGCCCGGATGAACGAGGAGATGCGGGAGTCGGAGGGACCCTTTGGACAGCCAGGTCATTACCCAATCAGCAGCCCCACTGAGCAGCAGTATAAGAAGTGCATTCAGGAGTTTATCTGTCTCACTATAGCCGAGTGCTAGGATCAGAACTCAGGTTCAAACGACAGTAAAAGCAGTGCAGGGGGTGCCAGAACACACACAACAACAAGCAGGTGTTTCCTTCACTTGTTTCCTCACTAGACTACCTTCCTCTCTACATCAGAAAACATACACTACTGACTTTAAACAATCGCAGTCCGATTATCACTTAGGATCACCCACTAACTCAGTATTAACCTCCTCTAATGGTGTCAGATTTAATTCAGAACATGAACACAGCATTAACACAACATGGTGGAGAAATCACTGCCAGGGCAGGGTCAGAGACGTCCAGCAGCACTACTGTCAACAAACCACAGATAGTCATATTTGAGTGTTTCAATGCTACAGTGTGCTCTGAACCAAAGGCCTGCCACGGTTTGCTTTTACAAACAAGTCTACGTTTATTTCATCAGATTTCAGATATTTCGGGCGCTTTTGTTCTGACTAACATGCAATCAAAAGGGACGACTTCTGACGCGTCGATCAGCACTAACATCCTGCTTAAATCATCAGTACAGTTCTTATGTAAAATGTGGAAAAAATATACAACTTTTGGGTCAAAGTTAACTACGCAAGAAACATCCAATCACAGAGCTCAAATCAGATTTGCTTTTAGCTCGCTTTTTATTTTTGGAATCCCTTTTTAGATGATTTCAGCCGCTATGGACCCATCATTTGTTTCCATTTAAAATGATGAAGCATTTCAAATTCTCTATCGCTCTCTTTTGTCTCTTTAGCCCGGTATTGGTAGCTGAGGCTCATGGGTAGTGTAGTATTAAGAGCTGTTTGCTTGACAGAAAGGATGGACAAAAGATAATTTCTCAAAAACGAAACGGAGATAATTCTAACTGGTGGTCGTGGCTTAATCCTTTAGGGGATATTGTGTCCTTCAAATTGAAATGGGAATACAGAGTGGGAGAAATTACTTCAGGAATAAGCGGCTGGACCCCCTGTTAACTCTAAAATGTGTCTCATAGAGGAAAGAACAATCAATTCATTGCCTGTTCACAGTGGTGGAAAAACTACTCCGATGTTTTACTTAAAAAACAGCAATATCAAATTGTTAAAAAAATCCGTTAGAAGTACAAAACTATCGGCATCTAAATATACTTAAAGTACCAAAGTAAAAGTACTCCCTATGCATATTCGCCCATTGAGTTATATTAAGTAACTGGATTATGATTATTGATGTTTGTTTGTTTGTTTACCACAGCTGGTAAAGGATATTGGGAATGATACACTTCTGCTGGATAGCTTGGTATATATTTATATGTCAAAGCCTATTTAATAACACATGAATATTTTATATTAGCTAATAATCTAAATCTTAAAAGTAACTAGTATCTAAAAGCTGTCAGAGAAATGTAGCGGAGTAAAAAGTACAATATTGGCTTCTAAAATGTACCGAAGTAAAGCAGCATAAACTGGGAATACTCAGGTAAAACTGTACTTTAGAAAAGTACTCGAGTAAATGTACTTTGTTACATTCCACCACTGCCTGTTCATGAGCGATTCAATCTGAGATCTGTTCAGTTTGAATAACCTGAGGATCAGTAGTTTGTGTGTTTATGATGAAAGCTAGTCTTGTGTTTGCATTTTGAGGGGAAACTGTGAGGCTGAGATAACTGTGACTGAGAGTAGAAGATCACTGAAGAAAGATCATTCCTCTTACAAAGCTTTTATGATTTATTAAAAGCAGAATTATGCACTTTTTCTTACCAACAGTGATTTCAATCTAGTTTCGTGTTCTCTTTAGGAATAAGTTATAATGCTTTTAATCAAGACAAAGCATCCAGAGCAATAGTGCAATGATGATTTCAGTACAGATAATCAAAGTATTTTTTTAAGCTGGATATATTTTGGTAGATATTATTTTGCTGAGTGCGCGCACACACTCACACACACACACACACACACACACACACACACACACACACACACACACAGCTCCAGTATTATATTCTCATGGTGAAAAAAGAGAGCCAACACTCGATAATATATCATCTCTTGGAGTACAAACTGCAGTGTAAGATGGACTTTTTTTTTATAAATCACATTAAACTAACAAGTATTATTGTTTATAAACAGTATTTATATGTTCAAATGTCTGATCATTGTGTTCTAAAGCATCACGATTAAGCACACATTAGATTTGTTCTTTGTTTATAATGCATGGGTGGCTGTAGCCCAGATCTTCCTGTTGCTTTTGTTTACATGTGTGCCCAGTGTAAGTGAATATTTGACATTTTAATATTGTTGGATAATGTTGATGTCCATATTATATACTGCCAACAGTGCATGGAATGACATTCATGACAGAAATAGATAATAATAAACGGACTGAACGCCCCTCTCTTACGTTGGCTGGATAGTGCAAAAAACTTTATTTAATCATCCCGTTTACGCTCTGAAATGAAGCAAAGTCTGTCGATTACTCTTTGTTTCACTCTTTTGATAACCTACAGTAAGTAGCAGTGATCCAGAACTTGATTTCTCGTGTTGTCTTGAGGTAAATTAGCTTAAAGACAAATATTTTCCCCAAAGATGTTGCTCGTCTTTGACAGATGCTATGGACTGTTGAGGTTTGGTTAACCAAAGACCACAGACAGTTTCTCAGAGTGCCAGCAAGTGTGTTCTTCTTTTACATGACCTTTTTCTTTCTTATGGTCGGCCATGAATCCAAAGGGACTGTATGACCAATAATTGGGTGGTTGGCTGAACCTTTTATTGAGCTTTGTAATCAAGCGAAACACATTTCTAAACCATGAATCTAAGTATGATCAGAGTCACTGCTTAACAGTATAACATTGGTTTGTGCTGAAAATGCATTTTATACTAAATCCCGCAAGAAAATGATTAAATAAAGGCCCAGTTACAATAGTACATGGCAAGGGAGAGCTAACTGCTGACATTTTCTTTACCACGATTTTATATTATTTCATTCCATAAAAGACCAGATCGGAAGAAAAAAAACATCACTTGCCATCTCTCACTTAGCGGCTCGTTAGCTCAGTCGCTAATAGGAGAATAAGATTCCTGTCTCATTACTGTGTGCAACCAATTATTTTTGAGGCAGCCTTTTGACTCCAACAAAGGAGTTTAAATCAGAGTTGATGGTGCAACATGTCTAATAAGCTTCAGTATGAGCCCTGTTCTCTTAATAAAGAACATGATATCAACATTTTGCGAGCAACAGTTCACCAAAGTTGAACTCAAGCTGAGATATTTATGCAAATGCTCTCCTGTCTCACGAATGAACCCACTAAAACGCATTGATTCCATTGAAACTAATGTACGTTTTGTGTTGACTTTGAAAGGGAAAAACGACTTTTCTTACTCCTACCCCCCTAATAATTGTCATACAGTCCCTAACTTAAGTTTGCGAAGACACACACAGGTATTAGCCGCGTAGCAGAGACGTAGCGCTGACAAATGGAGCAGCTCACTTCCTTTTCTTGCTTGTCAGTGAACAAATGAAAGCACTTTGAAAATCCAAGCCATTGAAGGATTATGTGTTGTACAGTACGATGTGTCTGCTGACTGTTGTGTATATAAACAAAAAAACTATTAACACTTTAACTGCTTGCTTCTAACATGCAATTTTTAACTTTCTTGTATCTTTTCTGTCTCTGACTGTTAACTGTTCATTTCTTTGAATATTGTAAGAACTTTCCTGTGCATATTAACACTAACTGCTACTTATGTTTGGTTTTGATTCCTTCTCTTTGCTCAATAACCCCTCCCAGTGTCTTCTAAAAGTAAAATAAATGGAAGATGTGACTAAAATCTGTCCTCTCCTTTTGCTTCTTGCTTCTTTTCTTTTGCAACCTTTCACTGCATGTAACAGCACTAACACACATCATGAACTGCACTAACAATGAATCAGTATATCTGGTTTCCACAGCATGATTTGAGTTTGAATGTTTTTATTTTTGAGTATTTATAAGCACTGTATAGTAATTATACAACGGTGTATATAACACTATATAGTTGCAAGAAAATATAAGAAAATGTTAACTTAAGTATTTCAATTAATGCATTTTTTTACGCTTAAAGAGACCTTATTATGCCTTTTAGGGTTTCCCTTTCCTGGAGAGTGTTATAAAGGTTTTTGTGCATGTCAATGGTCTGCAAAGGGTAGAATTCCAAAGTTCCCTCCAGAGGGAGTTTGGAACAGCAAACAAACTGTAGCAAGAAAATGTGGCCAAAAATGAACTTTTGCTGCATTTTTCGCCCAAAGAATTAGCAAAAGACTAATTCATGTACTATTCCTCTAAAACAGGGGGGTCAAACTCAAATACACAGTGGGTCAAAATAAAAAAATGGGTTCTAGTCGAGGGCCGGACTGGTTCAATGTTTATTGCAAAACGTATTGAAATGAACTTATTGCACATATTAAACCTGGAACTAACAAAGCTTAAATTATTGCCTATAAAACAACATTAAACATTAAATAATCAGTTGCATTCATTTCTTATGGCTCTATCTGCAGCTTCATTTCTTATGATTACATTTT